TTCCCATAACAAATCTATATATATATTAAATAGTCAACTGATATCATTTAAAATTTCACGTTGTTTGACAGGAATGCGACCACTGCACTACGCTTCTTGGCAAGGAAAACCAGAACCTGTAGCTCTTCTTCTGCAATACAACGCATCTGTGAATGATCAAGCTAATAAGGGTGAAACTCCATTACACTTAGCTTGTCAACATGGACACGTCTTGGTGGTATGTACTATTTCCTCATAGTCATATGTTCTAAACATTTAATTTATAATAAGATAAATACAGTATGTTATTATTCAATTAAATAATTAAATAAAATTAGCTTATTAAATTTCAACTTAAACTGTTATTAAAATAGCTATTTGTTTAACGATGCATTGTTTGTATTTTAACGAAGTTTTGCAAAAAATAATTAACATGAATTGAATGCTTATTAGTATTGGATATTAGTATTGTCTGTATTTATCTGTAATAAGAGTTAATTTCACACGACACGTGACATAGTTAAGCAAAATCTAACTGATTCGCATTTTTAGAAATAATTCTTTTAATGCACCCTTATAAAGGAATAATAAATTAATTTAAAAAAAGGAAATTATTTGACTTAACCGAATATTTAGCAAGGTTGGCCCACGACTGAATATTTTGGTAATTTCCTAGCAGTAAAATATAAAAACTTGTTCCTCTAATAAATTTTTCCATGTCCCCCCCCCCTTCTAACTAATCTTTTTTTCTGTTTTTTTTTTAATGAAAATAATTGCGAATCTCAGCTTCTGCATTTAATTTTACCAATTGAGAACATTGATTACTAATTAGTTCTATAGATATTAAGTTATATTAAGCATTTTTTTTTATGTTTTATAATTATATATAAAGTTAATTTATTAATAATATCTTAAAGTATCCTTACGAAAATTCAATAACTTTTCAAGTTACATAAGTAATTTTATTTCATAAAAACTGATATTTTTTCATGAGTGAAGTAAATTGATTTAATTACACTTTAAATCACTTTAATTTGTCTTAATTTTCCAAAAACGCGAAATTTATATTATATCAAATTCAAGAGTTAATCTTTTGTTATGATAATTTGATTAATAAAAATATAATAACAGCAATAATTTTTATATAAATTGAAATATTCGTAAGGCTTTTTGAGTCCCAATCACCTTCTAAGTACTTCAATTTTCCGTCTTAATTGAAAGCCCGTTAATGTACTTTTAAAACAAGTTGAATCTATTTCAATTTATCTATTTTAAATTAATTTATTTTCAATTGTTTATAGTCTTTGTTTAAATTGCACTGATTTACAATTATTTTGCTTTTGAAATAAAACCCATTGTTCTAGTACAGTAAATTTTGAAAAGTGGGGCCTTGAAAAAAAGTGGGTTTTTTTTTTCAAGCTGACCCACCTGAAAAAAATCGGGTGGATATTTTTCGGGCTGTGCCCATTTTGACGAACCTCGAACCTTCGACTTACCTTGAAGTAACTGTTGTGTTTCTAATCCCAGATGGTGTAGTCTAGCTACACCTCCGTAATATCAAAAAATCTCTAAAAGGTCTAAAAACAAATGCTGATCCCTTAAAATCTCGAGAATAATAAAACCTAAGCATTTGAGAATATAGTTGGGGGAGGTTTTATCATCCTTTGCACCAATGACGAAACTGCGGAAAGAAGCCCCCTGTTGAAAGTTTAGGTATTTGATATGGCCACTCAAAAATCATGAGAGCCGTCTGCCTTATCCTCAAAATACCTTAAGTACTATTAAAAAGAAAGAAAAATTTGATCACAAATGCTTTTTATTTTATCCACATCTGTATGTCTTTCAGAAAATATGACCTAATAATACTGTGGGCCGGGATAGACTGGTTGGTAGGGCACTGAGCCCATGTCCAAGAGTTCGTGGGTTCGATCCCAGCCGGCCGAAGTGACTAAATGGTGACTGATACACATTAAATCTGTCGTCGAGTCGCAAATTCCTCCATGTTCCCATAACAAATCAATACCTCTGGGGGTAATAATCCAGGAGCTCCCTTGTCTTCTGGATTGATTCAAAATTACGAGTCTACGGAGTTGAACATTAGCAGTCCAGGGTGCGTAGCGTTTTTAAAAAGTACTTAAAGGTGCTTCTTTTCGATTTTTGTCTTTTAAAAGCCTTTAAAGGTGCTTTTTTTATTGGGTGTTTTTAAAAAGTGCTTAATTTTCCCTTTTTCAAAATGAGATTTTTCCTTTACTATGTTGATTTTCGCTACGAATTATAACTAAAAGACACAGTTCACATTGTTCTATTTAACGTTTTCACAATTCATTCTACCCCAATCTATTTCGGCGTATTGTCAGTCTGTAGCGTATGAAAACGCCATTCGTTTTACATGATTCAAAATTTCATAATTTTGTCAAAATTTGAATAATTGATTTGTCATAATTGTCAAAAACAATGCCAAAAGGTTTTTTTTTTTTTTTTGACATGATGTTTAAAACAAGATAAAACCGACCAATTGTCAAAAATTTTCCAACCCTGCCTAATTCTGACATTTTTTTTAAAGTGCTTAAAAATATTTTTTGATTGCTTGAAAAATGCTTAAAAGGTGCTTATTTTTTGTTGAATAATTCGGTTACGCACCCTGGTAGTCGTAAACCCAAAAATTGGGTCTGCTGTTCAAGGACGGATATAAAATAAAATATAATAATACTGTTTCATATAGTCTGAAAAATTCAGCAAAATTATTTATGTGTACAAAAGAAAAAGAGAAAAAAAATATTTAAGAGCAAAAACGTTTTCTATAAACGAAAGTGACGAATAAAAATGAGAGTCGCTTTGAACGACGCACTAATTCCATTTCGTTGTTTTAATTATTTGTCAACGGTTACGTTACAATATTAATGATAGGAGTACCTGCATAATTAAGAACCTGCTATATATATTAATATGCTGTATTGCTTTACAAATTCACCTGCTGCCGTATGCGTGCTGGGATTAAGTAATCAGTTTGGGGTGTTCTGCATTGGAAATTAATTTCTATCTCACTCTCTCCGGCTATCGAATGTTCCGTGACATTGCAGGAACTGTCTCTCATGGAGACGAGTCTCGAATGTAATATTTGGCATGACCACCCCCCCCCCTCTTGCAGTATCGGTTTTATGCGAAATATTGAGTTTATATTCAGCTAGATCTTTCAGTTAAATTTTAATTAATTTAATTTCGAAAGGAGATTTAAATCTGACATTATTGATGAATCGAGTTTTGGTCTTTAGTTGAATTTCATTCCAAAATATATGACGTTGTTTTATAAAAATAAAATTAAACGTTTTTTTTTTTTTTTTTGAAGCTCTGTCGCCTAGGAAAATAAAAAGGCCACAATTTAAGTGTTCATAAAGCGATGACTATTGTATATCATCTTGCCGTGAAGAATCATCTTAGCTTTAGAGCGGACAAATAACTTAAATATTTTAAAAGTTATTAAACTTTTTTTTAAAAATCACTAATTTTTGGGACATTTTTTCACGTAAATGAAAACTATCAAAATCACTGCCTTATTCTAAGTTTTTGCAGATTTTTCTGAGCTCAGATAATGCAGTATTGAGGGGAGTTTTTAATTGTTAAAAAATTATACGACAAGAGCTTTTCATTTTTAAAAAACTGTGGCTTTCCCCCATATTGACTTTTTGCTCTTTTTTCTAGAAAAAGCATAGGCATGGCTGGTTTTAGATAGACTAAATTAAACCTAACAGTCATCAGTAACTGTTGTTAACTCATAGCCGTAGAGCTGCGATGGCGCAGGGGGTAGAGAGTTCGCCTTTCAGTGAGGTGAACCGGGTTCGAATCTCTAGCGATGGCTAGTCGAAACGAATCCGCATCCGGCTTGCACCGATCACAATGCTGACGTAAAGACGGATCATGGGTTAAAGTCCCTTTGCCGCCAGGCTAACCGTGGGAGGTTCTCTTGGTTCCTCACCATGTAACGCAAATGCGGGTTAGTTCCATCAAAAAGTCCTCCACGAAGGCAAATTTTTCCCAATACTTGATCCAGGAGTTCCCTTGTCTCCTGGATTAGGTTCAAAATTACAAGGCTACAGAGTTGAACATTAATTGTCGTACGCCCAAAATATTGGGTCGTCTGTTCAACGACGTTTATAAAATAAAACATATAAGTCGGTAGTTTTTATAAATATATAAAAGAATGTTGGAAAAGGTGTGCCATTCCACGCAACAACGATGCAATGAGTGTCACCAAACATCTGGTGGTAAATGTTTAACTTCTGAAGAATTGCTATGTAAAAATAATGATGTACTATAAGGATTTTTGTTTATTGCCCTTGTTTATCATGTATTATTTTTAAAACCCTTAGATGTAGAAGCTCTGGATAATGTTTGCTATGACAAATTCTTTATTTCAAAGAAACGTGGCAAAATATTGATTGAATTAATAATTTGATATTATTTAGAAAACTATCGTTTCAAAATTACATTTCATGCATTAACTATATTTTTTTCTTTTTTTCTCACAGACCAGTTTATTGCTAAGATACCATTCCAATATCCTAATTCGTAACAAAGATCATAAATCTCCACTGGACCTGGCTTGCGAATTCGGTAGATATCAGGTATGTCAGCATAAATAGTTTCATGTGTAGTGTGTATTATTACCAAAATTAAATATTCATAAAACTAATATTATTTTTTGACAGGTGGTGGAACTGTTATTGCAACAGCAAGCTAATTCGCGTTGCCGTTCTCTGTTAACAGAGAATCCTGAGGACTTAGCGGACAACAATCGAACCACATGCTTGCATTTAGCTGCCAGGAATGGACACGTAGATGTCATTAGGTACGTTTTACAATACTTTATGTGTGTTCACAAATTTGTATTATTTGTCAAACTTTTTCGGGTGAAAAAGTAGATAGCTTTCAGGGGTCTGTTTAGAAGAAATTTGGGTCCGTTAACGGAAACTTTCAAAAATATTTTAACTTAAAAACGGACCCTTCACAAAGTAATTTATCTTTTAATCGGACCCTTCACAAATATGTTTATCTTCATTATTGTTTTGTTAATCGAATAAACCCTTCCCAGGAATGGGGGGAAAGAAAGACTAATGTAAACGAACTAAGTTTTGTCTTCGGCAGACGCTTCTTCCTTTATTCGTCCGAAATGAATATTCTGCGTTCAGCAGTATAGGATAAATACCAAATATTTGTATGTTGCATCGCTAATTTAGTAGCTGCAATTGCTGTTTATTTTTTAAAATTTAATTTCTTATAATTATATATTTAAAGTGTTGCGCATAATCTTGTATGTCTTTACAATTTAAAAACTCCTTGAAAAATTTTTTTTGCAATAACGGACCCTATTTGCACAAATTCACAAAAGCGAACCCTGGTTGAAAGAATGTGACTTAACCTTTATTTTATATCCACAAATTACTCGTAACTTGTGGATATAAATTGTGTTGTTTGGACAGACCCCTGGATTTTGTCACAAACTCTTAGTTACTGATAATCAAAATTTTACAACATGTGTACTGCAACATCGTTAGTGTCAGCTCGTAGTAGCGATCTCTCGTGAAATATATTTTTTAATTGACAAGTTTATAAAGCCCAGAGGTTTGTCATACGCTCCTTGACACTGAAAATTTAAAATTTTACACATGTGCTACCATTATCTGTGTCAGCACACAGTGGCGTAGGGATCTCTTGTGAAATAGGAATAGTCGATCTTATAAGTTCCAGAGATTTTTCATAAGATCTTAAACACTGATAATCAAAATTCAATAATTGATTCTTTAATGTTCTGTTTTATCCCTAAAATTTTTTAAAAAAAGCTAAAAATTTAAGCGCTATGTTTTATTATTTTACTTCTAGTATATATTTCTAGAAACTATTATATTTCTCAGAAATTTTGCCTTCACTATAACTTTTATGTTTTTCTTATATTTAAATAAATGAAAAAAAATTGTAAAATCTAAAAATAAAATTATTATCTTTTTTAAAAATAATTTCACATTTAAATATTACTGAGTATTTAAGTTTAAAACATCGTTTTTGTTATGGAAATATTTTTTAAAAATTAGAAGACAAAAAAATAATTGTTTGAATAACGCTTTAAAAAAAGTGTACTTTAAAATAAAGAGTATGACAAATGCATTCTGCTTCGTTAACTTAAACAAATATTTCAAACTAGGCGGTAAAGAAAAAAAATACCGAGCGAAGTGATAGTTCTTAACCATACCTGCTTATTAAAGATTAAACGGCGAAAATTGCGGGGAAATTAATTAATTAATCAACTTACCGTTATCACAGCGGAATAAATTTTAATGCCAACCTTTTCTAAAATAAGCGCCAAATGTATGTCACCTTTCAACGCAACCTTTTAAAAAGCGGTCTTAGTTATCGAAAGTTTCTCCTTACATCGCATGCCTTCTATGACCCTTATTAATTTCCTGTCAAAACTACGCATATGTATAAAAGACAAGGAACGCAGAGAGGGATCCAAAGAATATTATAATTAAGACCCTTGCTAATGAATATGGATGAGACAATTAAGTACCAATTATTCCCGATTGGGGACGCTGCTGTAGTTTTCGGTTCTCCAAAAGTATTGTCTTCTTCTTTCTCTGGTTTCTTTTATTTTTCTTTCTTTCATTAGCGGTTTGAGACATAAGGGTTGTTCTTTTCTTGGGTTTTGAATATTTATGTTCGTTTCCTGCAACTCTAAACTTTCAACTTTTTTGTGAAAATATAAGTTATGGTTTTGTTTAGTTTAGAATTCCAGGGTCTCTGTATCAATTAGCTCCAATAGCTTAAGGCGGGAAGAAAGGAGAGTTAGTTTTTGAAGTTTGTTCTAATGAATAAAAATGAACTACTTTGGGGACTAAAGTAATTTTTCAGTAGAACGTTGTATTTGCTTGCCTGGAGATATATTTAGTGATGATCATCAAAAAGTTTTTAAGTATTATCTTTCCTTGAATGATGCGGTTGTTGCCTTAAAGATTATCGATTCACGCCTGAACTAAAGTGATCTATACACATTAAACATTTTAGGAAATATTTTTCATTTTTTTTTTTTTTTTTTTTTTGACAGAGCCTTGCTCTNTTTTTTTTTTTTTTTTTTTTTGTGTTTATTATTGTTATTCTTTGCAATTACAGATATTAAACACGTTTTATATTAGATTGAGTTCGTAAATAATTCCCGCATTATGCTAAAAGAAATAAAACACATAAGCATGTAATTTTAATTGGCTTTAGTAATGTTATCTTTATATTCAAATGCGAGGAAAGTGCTCTTACCTAAAAAGACGTTTTATATATATATATATATATATTTCCNATATATATATATATATATAAATGCTCAAATGCAAATTCAAACTTTATTGAGTAAAGTACAACCACTATAATAATTTAATAACGCTTTTATTGATTAAAAAGCTGAATTTTATTTACTTTTTAAATAATTTAAAAGCGTTTTCAAATATTTTTCGAAAAATAGATAGATTTTATAAATGAATAAATTTTAACGCCATATTTTGTCAAAAAATGTCCAACATTTTTGAATTCTAATTCGACAGTTAATTTTTTTTTTATTTTTAAAAACCCGTTAAAATATACAGATGTCCAAGTCAAATGCTGATCTAGATCAATTCAAAATCAATTTCTGTTTGCGCCGTTCCTATTGGAAAATAATCTGTTAAATAGTTTTTTAGAAGAACTACATCAAATGTGATCATTTTTACTTAATCTGAGTTAAGACATCCGATACTTCATAAGCTAATAAAAATTAAAATAAGACAAAGCTCATATCGAAATTAGTAATAAAAAAACGCGATGCGATGATATATTTGCCTTCCCCCCCTCCATAGAAATAGAGGCATCTGGTTTATCGTCTTGAACCTGAAGGTTTCTCAGGCAATATCTTGCGTAATTTCGTATAATCAAACCTTCCAGATAATGTATTTATTTGTTCAACTATTCACGAGTTATATAATTTTTCAAATTTATTACTGAAAAAAAAATTGCAGAGAGTTTTAAATCTCACCAACCCTAGATCATATTATATTTTATATGCTGTTTTTTTTTAGTTTTGTTATATTTTATTCATTGCATGACTCTTAAGTGTGAAAAACAGCCTTAAAGATGAAATATTGGAGAATTTTGTTCCTCTAAAAATTCGAAATTTATGGATCATATTTCTTCGTTTCCTCGCAGTCTCTAAAAGTAGGATTGAAATTTAATAGCATAAATCTTTTGCGTTGTTGAGTTTTTATCAACTTCTTATCAACAACGATTTAATCGACTTCTTATATTTTCAAAAATCATGCATTTCTTTTTAAAATAAGTTTTTTTTAAATATTTTATGTTATGAAATTTTCTGATACAAATTACTCTTTTGATATAATTCCCATTAATGTAAGCTATTTGCGTTTGAATATTTTAATGTACTGTTGGTCATTTTGAATGTTATTTCCGTTGTTATCTTGTAAATGTCATTGCATTGCAAAATCATTAGAAGTTATAATTCGCAATTCTTCCAAACAAAGTTTGTTTTCAGGTATAAAAATAGTTATATAGTCAAAAGATTTGGGTGACTATGACTTCTAAAAAATAATCGCCGAGAATCTCGCCTATAAGAGCATATTTTACCTATTTTTAGGTACAAAAATCTGAATATTTTCTATTAAAATAAATAAATTAATTAAATAGGATTTTTCTTTTCAAACGTACAATCAAAACTTCTTGAAATTCTCTTTTATGTAAACTCAAAAGACGTCATTGTGGACCGGGATAGTCGTGTTGGTATTTCGTTGGGCCCATGTCCAAGATGCCGTGGAATCTATCCCCGCCGACCGAATGCTAATTGGTGCACGTTAAATCTGTTGGGTCACAAAGTCATCCAAGTTCCCATGGCAAATTAACATGTCTTTGTGTTCTGTGATGTGTGTGTGGCTAAAGACGTATTCTTAAAAGCAAGAAACGCACCCTCTGCCTTAAATTTGCTTAGTTTCTCCAAGCACGCTTGCTGGTATTGGTAAGTGTCATTAGAAACAACAACAGTAGTTTGCTCTGCATTCTCTCTTTGATTATTAATATTATTTTTAAAAAAAGAGGGTATTCTAAAAAAGATATTTTTTTCTAAAAAGTCTATTTCTTGTTAAAGTAGTAATCGTCTTTTTTTACCCGTTCATATTAGAAATACTTGTAAGTAAACGTAGTTTTAAATCCTTTATTTATATTTAGGTAATAATATTTTAAAATTAATATTTTTTGTTGTTATTTTCAAAAAATCTAAATGCGGTTATGCTACCTACTTTCATCAGTGTCAATTTTAAAAGAAATTTTGATTAACGTACCTTTAACAAAATATTTTAACGTAGAAACGGCCCCTTCGTATATTATTTCATCGTGAAAACGCATTCTTCACAAAATATGTTGTCTTATAAACGAACCCTTCACAAAATTCTTCTTTTGAAAAACGTAGTGACCACTTGCTTACGTATTTTCTATACTACAATCCTTAAGAAACATCAATTTTGTGTTTCCTTTTTCTTCACTAACAGAACATTTTCTGATGCTCGCAAAAAGGATAATGGACCGACTCTAATGTAATTTCAGATTAAGAAGACGAATAGATTTTTCACAAGAAAAATTAATCTTAAACTGATAACTGGTTTTGTGATTGTGACTTTTCCCAAAATTATAAATAAAGACCCTATTACCTTCCTAAAAAATACAAAATTATTCATGTACTTCCGCAATTTTACAGAACAGGATCTTTCACATAAAGTCTGGAATAACCCTGATTACTTAATATGCTGTCATTTTTTTTTAAAAAAT